CACTACATTTAAATCACAGCAATTAATCACAGTGCATTAAAACAATTGTTTTGTATTACAAGTTTTCTGAAAAGTTTAATTATGTTTTATTACAATAATGTACAGTATGTGGAAAATAATGTGTTTTTTTAACCTTAAACCGCATAAACGCATTTCATTACACCAAATACACAAAATAATGTTCTTTTTAGCAGCATCATATGACCCCTTTAATAAATATGCACTCATATGCACACATTTCCAGAACAGAAATCTAAACACTGGATAAAGCCAGGTTCAAAATTGTTTCATTTTGTTGATATATTAGATTTAAAGCTTTTACAGAAGGGATTTTATTTCTTTTATTCAATTTAATAATGGACTACAAATTTTGCATCTCTTTTTATCTTTCTATAAATCAGAAAATACTGTCAACAGCCAGAAAAAAAAAACAATTTAACATATTTTTAGGAATGAAATGTTATAAATCAAGCAAATGTCATATGAACAAGCACCTCTGTAATACTCATCAAAATATAGATAAGAATAAACCTACAGTTAGGTTTATGTAAGTGCTACTGAAGTAGATATTTCTGGCTCATTTTGAGGAAAAAGGCCTTTAAAGATGTGTATTGAAATCTACATACACAAATAAAATATAATAAACACTAAAATGTATGTTTTTGAAGTTTTCTTTCCACTAGTCTGAAACAAGACAAGTTAGGGAAGCAAAATAGCTCAAATTCTCAAAACTGACCAGTGCCTGAAAAAAACTGTAGTGTCTTGCCTTAAATATATATATATATATATAATGATATTTTATTATTATTCCTTTTCTCCCGTATTCAGGGGAGAATGTTCCATTTCTTACCGATTTGAACACTGGCTATGGTGTTGGCTTCACTATCACACAGTGGACTGATTTCAAGTTTATGCTTCTTTTCAATGTCACCTAAATAGGATGACGACAACAAAGCACAATGATTACCTTTTGAACACAGTGAACTAACAGCACACGTAAAGAGCATGGTCATCATGAGAACTGGGTACCTTGGTGGAAGAATTCCTCCGTGACCTTCTCACTCCACTGTTTGCTGAGCTCCCATGGTCTACATGGGTTACAGATATCCGCACACTTCAGGGCCATCTGGAACACATGCAAATTTATGCCCAAAAGTGTCTGTCTTTATTTTAAAATATGGTATGCAGTCCCTTCCATTTAAAAATGGGACAATCAACTTCAAGTACATTAAAGTCAGCATTAGAATTTTTTTATACTAATTTTCCTTTTTTATTTAAAGCAAACATCTCAAATTTTTTTTTTTATTTCTCAAAGTCAAAGCTGGCATATAAAAAGTATATATAAACCGCATAATGTTTGTTTTTAGTGACATTAATACTGAATAGCAAATTCCCACCTGCAGAACGAAATGTCGATGAGAAGCGTTTCCTAAACACAAGTCGTTCTCATCCAGATGTGTCCTGAACCGGGACAGGTACTCATTCTGTCGGCTGATATCTGTGGCCAGAATGAGTGATCCCAGCTGCCTCTCTATACTCAGACTGTTAGAGACACCAGTTAAAGTCAGTCAGTCATAACAGAGGTCATTTACAAAGAGAAGTCTTAAAGAGCTAGTAGAAACAAAAATGCCTTTTTTTTTTTTTTTACAAAAAGAGGTCGAAAAATAGAATGGAAAAAAGATGACTTGTTTGTGTTGTAATAAGCCGTCATTAATATTAACAAAAATACTTTAGGCTAAAAAGAAATGGAGATAGTAACCTGTCTTCCGCAGGAAGATTGGAAAAGAGTTCGGTCTCTCTGAGCAGACCCACTGCAGACCTCCAGTGATGGTTCTCCAGAACTGAGGTATTCTACAGAGCAAACACACCTCAGTGCTGACTGACTTTGACATCTTTACAAATACAGTAATTTACTTAGAACATAAAGAGGATTGTGGCGCTAATGATGTGCTTAAATCCCATTGGATGCTGCTCTAACCCGGTACAAAGCTGCAAGGTAATGGTTGGTTTTGATGAGGAAAGGCTGGTTGACTCCAGGGTGGTCCAGATCGTGTGTGGCTGCGGCCAGCAACCCTAAGAGGATGTCGAATGATGTGAGGGACTCGGCGAGCTGTGAAAACACACACAGATGACTATAAGACTACATGTAATCATCAAAAGTGAATTTTAGGTACATTTAATACAGGGACAATCACCTTGGGTTCTCTCAGGTAACAGTGCATGGCCTGGGTGACATCAGCAGCATGGACTGCATTATGGTAAGGGTTCTGATTGTGGTAGTCTTCTTGAACCAGAACTGAAACCAAGAGTACAACATTTAAAGGGGTCATATGATGCTTTTTTAAAGATCATTATTTTGTGTATTTGGTGTAACAGAATATGTTGACATGCTTTAATGTTCAAAAAACACATTATTTTTCAAATACTGTACATTATTGTAGGTCCTCTATGCCCCGCCTCTCTCAAAAACGCGTCGTTTTCTACAAAGTCCCTCCTTCCGACAAGCGCAGCTCTCTCTCTCTCTCTCGCTCTCGCGCTCTCTCTCTCGCTCTCCCTCTCTCTCTCTCGCGCGCTCTCTCTCACGCTCTCTCTCTCGCTCTCCCTCTCTCTCGCTCTCTCTCTCCCTCTCTCTCTCTCTCTCTCGCTCGCTTGCGCACACACACACACACACACGATGCGCAAAACTCCGCATTTGAACAGTCAATAGCAAATACTTAAACTAATAACAAAACAGTAGCTGATTCAGAAGCGCCAGATTGTCATAGCAAAGTCAGAATTACCTCCTCTCCTAGGTTCACGAAACGGTCGTCCATAAAATGCATTGCTGTTCTGTTGT